TCTTCAAGAAAAAAAAAATCTTCTTTAATTCCCCTACTCTACTCTTGCTCTACCTCTCCTCCTCTACACTACACATTCTTAAATATATAAAAGAATAATGGTACTGTGGTATGAGTCAAGAAGAAAATGAGTGAGCAGAAGAAGGAAAGTGTGACACATGTGAGGTTTTTTACGAAGAAAAAATCAAACAAAGAAAATTGTTTCTTAAAATCAAATAAAATCCTAATTTAAATAATAATAATAATCAAATCACATTCTTTTTAAAACAAAATATATTTTTAAAATTTAATTTAATTAAAACTTTACATTATAACTTATGTTATTTTTTAACCAAAACAATTACATTTAAACTTATGTTATTTAATCAAACAATTAAAAATTAAACTTAATAAAAGAATAATAATAAATTAAAATTAAGCCGGACCAAATACGATGGGTACAAAATCGATACATACCATCCAAATAACCAGACTATCCAAAATAAGGGATATGGATTCACAATATACATCAGAGTTTTAGTCCTATATATACTATGGACTCAAGAACTACCTTTCTAGGCCTTTCGTGAGAGGATCTACTAAGTTCCTCTGGGACCTCACATACTCTAAGGAGATAACTTCATATTTCAGCAACTGTTTCACAACTTAGGGGCATATGTTTTTTGTTGCCATCATACACATTATTTTTAGCAATCCTATGACAACTTGTGAATCACAATGTAGGAATATTAGTACAAATTCCCCTACAATCATGGTATATTCCATGAAATAAAAATTACACATACACTTCTACACATAAGGTAGAATAATCCCTATGATAATTTGCTGATTTTCATGAAATATAATTTCTCCACCTAAAAGAAACACATATTCATGAGTGGACACCTCATCATTATCTATAATATTGTTTGCAACACACAATAACCTTTTAACACATATCAAACTTGTTATAGTGCAAACAGTAACTCAAACGATGAAAAGCAGTCCAATGGTCTTTACCAGGATAGAAAGTATATCTACTAAAACTACTCACCACATATGCAATATCAAATCTAACACAATAGTATATCTTCTCAATCTACTCACAGCATTTGCACTATCAAGTCCAATACAGTTCATCAGAGACATAACACTCTCTATAATTTTTGCATATTCAGAGATACACTATCATCCTTATTCTCTTAAGACTCATGCTAGCATCATAAAGTGTTCTTATAGGTTGATTATCAAAACAATCAAATTCTTTTAACGTTTTTTCAATATAGACATAGGAAGAATCTGGTATCATGTTTATTACCTTAATACTAAGTTTTATATCAGCCTCTCCTGAATCTTTCATTTCAAAATGTGAAGATAAAGGTAACTTGGTATCATTAATGACATCTAAATTTATGCAAAAAGAAGCATGTCATCACCATAGAAACATATAATCACCTAATCAACTTCAAACAACTTTGACTAAACTTACCAAAGTATTGTTAAATTTCACGTATCATTGTTTAGCTTGTTTATGACCATAAAGAGAACTTTTAAAGCTTGCATACCTTATTCTCTTGACTAATAATCACAAAGCTGTCAATTTGTCATTAAAATCTCCTCCTTATCTAAATCACCGTTAGGAGATGCCACATCAATTTGATGTATAAATAGTCCAGGAATCGCTGCAAACATGATTAGAGATCTAATAGTAGCTATTTTAGATACGGGAGAGAATATATATCATATAACATTTTGTGTATATCCCACAATTTCTATAAATTTTTTTATTCAAGGTTTTATTCTTTAAAAATTCATTTACACCTAAAATGTTCATTACCTATAGATAAGTCTAACAAGTCTACCTCATCTATACAAATTGAACATCTATCTTATTTGAATTTTCAACCGAAAGGTGGTTAAAGAAGTTTAATTTCACATGATCATACTCATAACATCTCAAATTAATTATTCTACCAATAATTAATTTAATTTCACATAATTACGTCAATAAACTTCACCAATAAGATATATTTTCAATAGTTTACTTAATTTAATTAGCAACATCATATAATTAAATAATATCAGATACACAAGAGCAATTAGTTAATCATATAAGTTCCTGATTTCCACCTTTAATAATATTCATGACTTTGAATCTCATGTAATAACAAATAACTTCAAAAAGAAATAAATTTAGAGATTATAGACATGTTGACAATAAAATATTGATAACGAATAATTTTATATATTTAATCAAAATACGATTATATATTCGACTATATAGTCAAGCAAGATCTCAAATCACCACAAAGAAAATTTTAACCCATAATCAGTATTATGAGCAGCACATATAATTGGATTTTACACAACACATTTCCTATTTTCCAACAAGAGTGAATTATAGTCCAACATCAATAAAATAATTTTCATTCTAATGAAAATTCAGGACCACTTAAAAATCTCAATAACCACAATAATTTAAGATATGAAATTAAACTTAGATTACTTAAATTGAGAAACTCTATTACCTCATTTTTAATTATTCACAATTTATCTAATCAGCTTAATAAACAACTTTCACAATTATTTCAATTATCATAAATAATTTTAAATTGCACAAATAAGATTACAGAGAAATGCCTCATTTAGCTAATGTATAAAACACATATACACGATAATTATCAATAAATATCATGCTCAAATTATGACAATGATTTTAATTGAAAATATTATTCTATTCTCGTAAGGTACTTAAAAGATATAAAAACTTTTACGCTCATTGTTCGACGAGAAATTTAACAAAGAGAAAACTCGAATTAATGAACTTGTATTTGTATTTATGTATGTGGGTGTTACAATCTCTAATGTATAACCCTCTGATTAATTCTCTCAAACGTAAACTTTAATTCAAGGGCTTGTGAGCTTGTTCTTGAATCAATGGTTGATGCCTTCAGCTTCTTGCTTGTCGAAGGATCTTTGAAGTCTTCGGCTTTGAGCTTGTTGAAGACTTTGACTTGTTGATGAAGTTCTTTGGCTTGTAGCTTGATGAGGACTTTGTGAAGTATTTGGCTTTGCAGCTGGTGAAGTGCTTCGGCTTTGCAGCTTGTTGAAGTTCTTCGACTTTGCAGCTTGTGAAGTTCTTCGGCTTGTAGCTTGTGAAATTCTTTGGCTTTGCAGCTTGATGAAGTTCTTCCGCCAATTTGATGATGACTTTGCAGTTTGATGGAGTCTTCAAGTATTGTTGCTTGGGGAGAGAAGATTCAATGTTCTTGAAGTCTTGTACTCTGCAAGTCCCGAATTCTGCAAGTCTTGTTGGCTTTGGATGCTTCGCTTGACTCTGAATAATTATAGACAATTCTAAGTGCTCTGAATCTCCAATTCTTTTGGATCTCTTTCGTTTCAAATGAGAGGTTATCCCTTCTATTTATAGAGTTTTGGTGGGTCTTAAGAGACCATGGGCTTAATGGATCATGGGTTTGGGTCCAGTCTCTTCATGGGTTTTGATCCAATTAAGTTGATTTCATCGGACGACCATAAGAGAGACACGTGACATAATTAGATTTGTCGATTTTAAATTAATTTAGGACATGTGTAATTTTATCATTGGTCCTAAATATAATTTTAAATTTTGTGACGTGACATTTAGTAATTAGTCGAAATTTCTCATTTAACACTCATAATATAGGAAAACCAACATATATAAAATTTAATTATGTAGCATGTGAAAATCAATCCAAAGTTTAATGAAATAGACTAAACAACTTAGCCTATATTTTGGAACAAGTCTTCGAAAAAATTCCAACTTGAATAGAACATGACTTGTTAAAAGGCCAAATCAAATATGCATGGGATTTATAATGTTGCAGTTTCAGATAATAGATAATAAGAAATTCACCTATTTGACTTCTATGTCCTCTCTCTATCTTTCAAATTTTTTTCGGTGGCCTACCCACAATTGTGGTCTTTGTGCACGATCCATCCCCGACAATAATACCAAGGAAATTCAAACGCGTCCTGCCAACCAACAATTCTAAAAA